AGCAACATTTACTGGCAGTTCTCCGCGAGAGTCATTTTCAGCAGATCATCTGGCTCTTAACTGCGTTGGCTTGCTTGCTAGCTCTTAAAATTCTCTTGCTCTAGGATTACTACTTACAGCTAGCTTGGTAGGACGGTATGAGTGCGCAGAACTCTATTACCTATGACTGGGACGATGCAATGGACCCAGTATATCCCCTGTCGCCTATAAATTCTGCACTGGAATCAGTTGTTGTTTGGATTGGGGAAACATCCCTGGTTGGGCGTAGTCCTGGATTATCGACAGATGTCCCAGCCTGAAGTAATTCAAATATATGGTTTTCTGCACACCAGAGGTATTAGGGCAACGCCTTGGAAAGGTACAATGTCGCAAGCCTCCAACCGACAAGAGTATAGAGGCCGTCTGTACACCATTCCCTACTAATAGCTTCGAAACTGTAATTATCTACAAACGATTGATAACCGAAGTGTGCGTCCGTTGTAATCAGTAGCGGCACCTCAGCGACTAGAGAGTTGAAACGCGATCTTCACCGCTATGCCTTCAAATGTGGTGTTACTAATTCCATTACGGGAAAAGGTGGAAAAGGTGGAAAAAGCAACGCACCAGTACTTACCGTTTCTGTTGGAAATAGCTTATTTCTTAATGCCCAAGAAATGCCCTGAAGTAGCCTGGCGTGGTAAAGGGAGACAAAATGTTATAGTAAATAGGCCATTCAGATGAAACGTCATAAGATTCAGTCACTCCTCATCAGTCCATAATCTGTGGAGATCGAATCCCGGAAGTCCAACTGGCGGGATCTCCGAACATACGTCTATCGGAAGTTTCACCGAGAAACCCGCGTCAAATAAACCAGGATGCAATTTTAAGGTACAAGGTCCTCTTTTTGTCATAGGAAAAGAGCTAAACGCCCCAGGTAGACCGCCTTTGTCTTCCACGGCGTCATAGACTGTTTTAGTTCCCTCAGTCGGAGATATGAACCCTGAAATCGACCCGATCACCCGTACGGCCTCTGGCTAGACATCTTGATCGTGCCAAAAGAGAGGGTGCAAAAGGCAGATGGTGCAAAGGAATGGATAAAGGGTAAAGAAAACATGAGTCTATAGAGGGAAGGGAGTTTTCGCCAATTCGGACCAATCAATTCAATTAGTCTTGCGATGTTCTCAGCTAAGCGCCTCCATAAAGAGTGATGGGTGTACCTAGTTGTAATTTACATTTAATCCTTCATTCAGTAGTACCACACAAATAAATGCAAATTATCCCCTTATTGGCTGCCTTCGTCTCCAACCGATTTTATGGGGTCCACAGTCTCCCTGTGAGACGCCCCGCCTTTGTCTACATCCTCGCTTAAAGCCACATGAAGACCCTCGGAGTTGTATGTATGTTGCATTTGGATCTTCTCTCGTCGCATCTCCTTTGATTTCTTGACACCGAAGCCCTCGTCGAAGAGGGTGAAGGCTTCGTCAACCGATAAGCCCTCTAGAGAAAGCATATTAGCAATACACCGTGTCTCGACCAAGGGTCATTGCTTACTAGTTTCAGGATAGCAGAAATAGGCAAGCACAAGGCCGATGATGATGAAGCCAAGGTATAGACCGTATGTCCCGCTGGGTGTCAGCTGTTCGAGTCTGTAATCGGGTCAGCCAAATTTCCCAGTGCTGCAGCGGGAGAGACGAACTCGGTGAGGAAGGACACAGCGACCACCAAATTTGCTGAAAAACTTGCGGTCGTGCTGATAGCACTACCCGCTGCACGAATCTCGAGAGCGAGGTACTCGGACTGGTACCAACAAAGGTGTGCATAGGTGGAGCCAAAGCCGGAGACGAAGATGACGATTCCGGCTATAACCAGGCCAACGTCCTTCTGGGGATAAGGGTAGCCATCAACCAGGACGTGCCCTGTGGGCTTACACATGTAGTAGAAAGCGACGAGACACCAGGTGAGACCAATGACCATAATAGGACCGAATTTCATCAGCAGCCCACGGCGACCGATCCGGTCCACCATAACCATGCCGCAAAGAAGGAAGAAAGTGTTGGTGATTGAGGGGATTAAACCTCCAACAGACGGATTGGAGAGGCCCAAGAGTCCGAATAGAGTTCCAGCGTAGTAGAGAAGGGTGTTGTATCCGGTGAATTGACCAAAAACCTGGATAAAGCTGACGGTAAAAATTGAACGGCGGTACGGCTTGTGAGTCCATAGCTTTTTCGAGCGTTGCCAAAAGGTGGTCGAGCGTTGCAGAGCCGTGGTGGCAGCAATGTGATCCTTGACGATCCGCAATTTCAGCTCAATGATCTCAGGTGAGGCGAACTTGTAGATCGTCTTGAGTACTTCTCGAGCCTTGTCGTCCTGGCCACGAAGGATAAGCACACGAGGCGACTCCGGTAACTTATGCATCAGGGCGAGCTGCACAAGCGAGGGCACAACGCCAAGACCAAACAGGATCCGCCAGTTGCCCTTGACGTGCTGCATGCCGGCACCAATGGCAACGGCGACTGTCTGGCCGAACGGAATGCAGAAGCCATTTGTCCCGACACATCGTCCACGAACGGCTGTGGGAGCCAGTTCAGTTATGTAAAGTGGACAGATTACAGCCGCGCCACCCACTCCGACGCCGAGGATAAGACGACCAGCCACAAGCTGGCCGAGAGAAAAACTCGACGCGATGATGATAGCACCGGCTGTAAAGAATAGATCAGAGATCAGTAAGCAGAGCTTTCGACCCCATCTGTCGGCGAACAGGCCCAAGATGGCAGCTCCGAAGATGGAGCCGACGGTGGTGGCCGCTGTGGCAACCTCCTGTTGAATGTAGGAGAGTGCATAACCAAAATCGGTCCCAACATAAGGAAGTGCAACACCAACAATGCCAGTGTCATAACCGTATAGGAATCCACCAAGGGCCGCCTAGGATTTGTCAGTCGCTTCTCAAAGGCTTGTACGCGACATATCTGACCGAAGCGATCAGGAAGAACAGATAAGGCGTCATCTTGTCCTCATTTTCAGCTTGAATAACGTGCTCATCCTGGAACCATTATCAGTACCTTCCCGCGCCGAGTAAGGGTCGAGGACTTACGATGAGGTGACGTTGTTCGGCTGGGGCAATCCAGTTTTGAGACACAGAGTCTGTCTTCGGTGCCTGATCCGCCGGGGCGGTCTTGACGTCGTGAGATATCATATTGTAGAGTCCAAATGATTAAACATGGATGCTAAGGTGATCGGGACGAGGACGTCGTCAATTTATATACTTGAGATACTGTGATACCGCGAAGCCTCTGTGGACATGCCCTATTTCGGAAAATAAGTACCGATGGCGTCGTCTTGGCCAGTAGTTGTAAGTTTGACCCTACCAGTCGCCCAGATAAAGTTGACCGCTTTGATTGGTTGGCATGGTATGACCTTACAACCTTAAATGGTGACCTTGCTCTTCTTGATAACTATTAAAAATAGGCCATTTTAGGGAGGGGGATACCGTAAAGCTTTAGGTCAGGCCTCGATATCGTAGAGCGCGGAGTCATACTTAGTAAGTTCTGTGCAAGGGTCCTTTAGGAACAAATATACCTCCTCAAGAATGCACAGTCCCAACAGACTGCGAAAATGAGGCAAGACGGAGATCTCAAATCTGGGGTTTGACGCTACCCCCGCTACCCCGCGAATGTGGATCCTGGCAAAGAATTAATGTTTACTGGAAGTGCCAATCGGCCGTAATTCCAGCCCGGAGAATCTAACCCTGGGTTTGCTGACGCATTTTCGGGGATGTGATTCCGACACCATGTGATGCGCCTCCAGAAGTCTTAACTAACCTGACCTAAGTGAGTTATCGCCTGTCAGATTCACTCGGCGTTATTGTAGGATCGTGTGCATGCTCCCAGCTAAAGGGTCGGCATGAATAATAAGTATACAGGCAGGAGCGGGTTGATGAACCATCGAGATGGTCTGTGGGCGTTATCCGTGAATATTGCAATTGCGTCAGCTCTAACTTAAACAGTAAATTAGGCGACTGGTTATCTGAAAGCCTGTTCGTAGTGTAAAAGGGGCCTCAATATGCAGAAAATAAATGGGATGACCACCGCCAAGATAATTTGGTGCCCTGGACATCTTATGAGTGTATTGGCTCTTCATGCTGGCCCCTAGATGCAAAGGTCTCTCGTTTCTGAGGTAGCCGGCCAATCAATCATGGACTGTGGAGCAACCCCGGATTCTGACCGTAGTTGAAAATGATGGGTCGTGGAGTAGACTAAGCGAACGTCCACACAAAAGCCATTTGATTCTGTGTAATATATTGCCAAAACTAACACATTCAACCACTGACCTCCGTATCTTTGGTGTGGCGTCCTGGGGGCTGCGCTGGTTGGTGGGCCGTCCCAAGTCAAAGTTTTGCGGGTGGCGATTGTTTTCCAGGCCACGAGATCTGAAGCCCGCCAAATGCTAGAATTTTAAAACACGCATTGCGGAGTAACCCTATTTACCCCAGAAATGGAGGAGCTCGATAGTGCACATATGGCTGTGGCTAGCTGGGTCGTTCGTATCCTGGTCTCCCAATGGATAATCATCGCAGGATTCAGACCTCGCAGGATTAGCGTAAAGGCCAAGTGTAGTCAAAGGTTAATGGAGCCTGGCATCTACATAAGACCTTCGCTTTCCCCTATTATCTTTCGTCATACTACTTGCTTGACTCTCTGAAAGTGTAGCCTCCCTACGCCGAGCCCGTCCCAGATTTGGCTCCCCATGAATGATATTTCTCTGCTCTTTTGAAGGCTGCTCCTTTGAACTTGCATCCATCGAAGTCTTACTTCCAAAAACAATCGGGATTCCTTGTCTTATGAAACTCAACACCGTCCCCCACAAAAGTCACTATCTCCAGTTTGGTCTCAAGACACCGATGATGGTCTCTCCACCATGTAGGAGTTTCTAAAGGTGTCCTGGTCAACAGCACCAGATCACTCAGGCCATAGTCCCCTGTTGGTAATATTCGCCACGGCCACGAATCTTGAAAAGGCTCTGCAATGAGCCCACAATCCTCCTCCCTGACTCAGGAACCAGAGGGACTTGTCGGGGGCTATCGAGGGAACAGCACCGCTGTCAAGGTCATCATAGGTGTCCTGATCGCCATCGTGTTTTATAATGCAGTCGAACTCACAGTTCTCATCCTTATGACCTTTCGTCGCTACCAGAGTCTCTACTTTTGGTCTTTGATGCTTTCCGCGACTGTTGGGCTTATAGCCAGTGGCGTCGGCAATCTGCTACACTTCTTCGACATTGGACCGTTAAGTTTGGCTCTGGCACTATCTAATATCGGATTCTACTTCCTGGTTCCGGCTCAATCCGTGGTTCTATACTCGAGACTACACCTGGTTCTTTTCAATCAGCGTCTCCTCCATTTTATACTCCGTGCAGTGACCTTCGATGGTATCGTCTTGGCCGTTCTAGTGACGGTTATGTCATTCGGCTCAGCCTTCCTGCAGACGGGCCCTTGGAATGCGGGTTATACGGTCGTGGAGCGGCTGCAGGTGACCTGGTTCTGTATGCAAGAATTCGCTATCTCCGTGCTCTACATCCATGAGACTGTCAAGCTACTCCAGCTTAGACCTGCGAATAACAATCGTCGAAAGAACATCATGCACCAGCTGTTGGCCATTAATATCCTTATCATTCATCATGGACACTGTCGTTGTCGCGATCGAATTCATCGGCTTCTATTATATGCAAGTCTTGTTAAAGGATGCTATTTACAGCATCAAGCTCAAGCTTGAATTTGCTGTGCTTGGGAAGTTAACTACCATCGTGGAGGCCGGTCATCTCGAGCTTACCCAGACTGATCAGAGTGTTCGGTGTGATCTCCAAAACCGCCAAAGACTTGCGGCATCTAATCCGACATGCTCACAAATGACGTCGAATAACTCCAGATCCGTCTCCGAAGTACACAACGCAGATACATACTCAGATGGGTTCAGTGTAACAGGTAGCATGTCGCACAGCGGAAGATCCCACCTGTTATGATTAAAATACAACTTTTAGGATTCACTTATAACTAGTTTATTTCCCTTCAGCCTACGATCGAATAGTAAGATGAATATTTAATTAGGAAGACAAAACATAAATGAAATGTTATCTACCTACGTTAAGGCGCATCGGTTTCGCAACGACGATAACTGCGGGTGCGGGACGCGAGGAGCCGTTACCTATGTGCTGGTGGACCGTCCAAGACTAGCAGAATCGTGAAGGGAGTTGATGAGTGGAGTTAGGGACGCGTTTAATTGTATATCGAGCCCGCTAGGAGGCTTAGCCAAAGGTAAGAAAGGTAAACTAGACACCACCTCGCGGGTTGGGACGGTTAATACCGTCATGGACTTCGCCGAGGCGTCTCAGAGATTTAGAAGTGGCATACCACGAGGTGCCTGGCAGCTGTTTCGCAGACTCGCCCGGGATCACTCGTTAACCGCGCGCATGAAGATCCTGGACCATTCAAAAGCTGGTGTGATGATCTTCGGCACAAGTATCCTCCTGAATGCGGCCCTCACAAAGCCTCTTTGCAGATTCTTGGAGTAATAGACTGGGGCGTTACTTACGCTCCACCGGCGGAGTTCTCTTCTGCTCCGCCATGATGGCTGCTGCTTGAGCAACCAGAATGCTGGGCGGGAGGTATTAATCGTTGACCTGCTCCCGCGGCTCCGGGAAAGAGATGTAGTGGAAAAAGGTCCAGTTCTCAGAGTGGTAGATGTCGTCGCCATTGTGGAGACTCAGCCAGGCACAGTAGCCATCCGGGTGAGGTGCACCTGGTACAGGGGATGATGTGGGCGGGCCCGGAGAAAGAGAGCATGCTTGCGAGTATGACGCGTGAAACACACGGTCGAGGCATAGTCGATGGGAGTCACCTTGGCAGCCTCCTTGCCCACGAGAGGCGAGCGAACCGTGGAATGTGGGCCATCAGTGGCAATCAAGACGGCACCGATCTCCTCAGTCCCATCGATTAGTTCCTCAATTTCTCCTGGGTACGGATGAAATATCTTACTTGGAGAAAGAGCAGCCACCCTTTGATCTTTTCCTTGAGCTCGTTAAGGGACAGATCGCCTTCGGGATGGGGTTTGATACAGCGGGGAATACCATCTGCCCAGTGGTGGATCAGTTTTGCTATGCCTTTCATTGGTTGTTATGGGTGGTTTATTAGCTGTGTCTCTGTCTCCAAGGAGAAAATCCTCTCTGAATGAGGGAAGAACGGTCCAGGGAAAGGGAGGCGCACTCACTTCGTCCAGAAGTAGCTCCGGAAGTGGGCCGTCTCATTTGCGAAGCTATGGCGCCACTAAAAATATGTAACAAATCTGTGTTGGCTGCTAAGCTTGATTGGCTCGGCAGCTTCCGCTCGTATAAACCGCTAAGCTTTGTCTATTTATGTATCGGCGGAGATTGACCGAACTACAGGGAACCAACGGGTTACTAAGATAATCCAATAATCCCATAGAGGCCCTGGAGTATTCCTTTTGCTACTAGATCCGTCCTTTAAAAGTCTACACTTCTCACATACAAAAAATGGCAAATTCGGAGCTGGTACAAATGCCATGGTCTTATCATTGTATGCTTTATCCATTTGACTTGAGAACCAAACTAAGTCTCCAAGCAAAATCCATTCCTTGAAAGCCTAAGTGTTCCCACTCTATCACATGTTGAATATGATTAAAGTGGATAGACCTAAGTAGAACATCCACGTCCAAACCACACCTTCACTTATGAATCAAGATAACAATGTGCAGCCAACTCTTCAGCAGAAATCGCTGCGGCCGGAGCCACCATCAGTGCAGCCACCGCCGCAGTAAGTGATGAAGGAAATATCACCATTCTGGCCACCATTGCAGTGGAAGAGGGATTCCCGGATATGGGCGTCGTCGGTGGACTGGCCGGCAGACTGGAGGGCGCCATTGACCTGGGCTCCATAGTTGCCTGCCGGGAATGAATCGTTAGGTGTGTTAAGTCTGGACGGGAGTGGCGAGTTCACATACCAATGTTCAAGAGGTTATAACCACAGTAGTTCAAGCCAGTCTTGCAGTTGTCTGCAGCGGCAAAAGGAGCCAGTGCGGCAAGAACGGTGAGAGGGAGAATGGCGATCTTAACCATGATGACGATAATATATGAGTTTAAAGAGACAGTGATGTTGCAGAGAGATTGATCGGGATCAGGATTGGAATCAGAGTGAGATACTATGGATTGAGATGGGATAAAGACTCAGGATAGAGGCGGATCAGTCCTCCTTCTTATACCCCAAGGGTCGTCTACATCAATGTTGATCAAGCCATATGTTCCCATTTCTATGAAGTAATATACAGCTGATCTATACATCATAGCACGCCTAATTGGGCGCCTGACGCCCTTGCCAACAGTCTATTATCCCTGGAAACGTGAGGCCACTGGTTATTGCATCGTGCCGGTGTCTAAAGTGTCCACTTTTGTATCCTCAGCTCATATGGCTTATGCAGTGTAACCTTCTGAGACATATTGACTATAAACATATGAATTGATTGCGATGGTGGACAGTACATCTTATGCTTTCAGTACGATAGCTGGGCAGATAACCCAAAAGCAATTGGTATATCATCCCACTTCCCAAGTCTCTCACGGTTGAAAATCAACATCTTATTATCACGTCAAGTTGCCAGCTGTAATCCTGATGTTGAGTTATTATTCAGCAGTACGGAGTAACCACAGCCTCAATGCACTAAAATCAGCGTCGACATGGCCCTCTTCGAGCGGCGATCCCTACTCATAAGGGTAACATATTCGTAGGACCAGTAGCAGGCGTCTAGAGTGGTACACGGTCCAATAAAACCGCTGCTAATTTTGTGGGGATCCGCAGCTAAAACCGCCACTTTCTGGATTCAAACCTTGCCCCAGATTAGGCCTCCCATTCTTGCTTACGATCTGCATTGGCACCTAGGAGGATAAAGCTCTGATGTTGCATTTATATTATGGTACTAAATGCGCGTTTTCGACAAATCTAGTGTATTAGGCCTCTGCCTCATCGAGACTGCGTCAGGCGCCCTGTCCCCTGCATCCGCTCGGCGTTTCGCCTCTCAGACCCCCTAAGGTCCCTGATCGACGTCGACATGGCGCTGTTCAGACCGGTATGAACAGGGATGTCAATGTATGTGAGATTTAATGGATCAACGACACCGAGGCTGACACTCGATTACCCTCGTAGATATGAGCATGGTAGCAAAAGCTGTGATGCCAAGGCTGTCCACAATAATCATAATTATGTCAAGTGGGTAAAAGAAACAATACTGGTCTGTGAGCACTTTGCTTAACGACCATCATTTTGAGTACCATCGCCTAAATATATAAGAACAAAGTACTGTATACAAGAGGCGCTCACCACATCACCCATGTATTTCTCTGCATACGCTGAGGCCTTTATGAAGAGGCCACTTCTCACCAGTACATCTTTCGAGGCCTCATGGAGCAGCTTTCATGGAACAATCCCAGACTGTACAAAGTCAGCGGACGACACGAACCCCGCGAACAGAGCAAACGAAACCATTTTTTAGTCTGGGAATAGCCGACACGTGATCAATACTTCAGGATTCCAGGAATGAGTAAACGACCCTGTAAAGAGTAGTTGGAGAGGTTTTTACGGAGGTAGTAGAGGGAGGACTAGAGGAGGACATGTACTATTATCGCTGTACCTGCCCAGTCTGTGTTCAACAACGTCTCACTTATGGATAGATTCACTAGTTATCGTTAGTTACTACACTACACTAACAACTGAGAATATACTTAGCAGGCTTGGTTCTATCCCTACTATCAATTATTCTTATCTCTTCAACTTGGTTAGATCGCGGTTAGAGCACCCAGTTACATAATTAACCGACCCTGAAACTAGGTGGAAGGGTCGGTTATGCATAAAGTATACCGCGGCTTGCAAAGTTACACTGTTATATATGTCAGGAGATCTGCAATAATCCCACGCACCGAAACTTTACATATATTATAATTAACGACTTTACAACCCTGAAATCGTACTTTAAGATAGTATTCGGTCTACTTCGTACTTGTCGTTAGGTTAGGTTTGTCCGTCCGTTAGAAAATCAATATCAAGCCGACCCAGTATACAGAGTGGAAAATAGCACTGCAGGTCTGTGGCTAACCTGTTTATTAAGTAAGTTTCCATTGCTGTCTTTATGCTATATCATGTACGGAGTACAGAGAAGCATGCTTTACGGTAGTGAAGAAAATCAGATGCTGATCAGCCGCGAATCAAAAGCTCCTCCGTCCCTCGGAGTAACCGCCTGAAGATGCTGCTCGGTAAGAGGGGAAAACCTCGTATTCACGCGGCCTAAACCTTGCACTATACTCTCTTTAGACCAAGCGCAAAAACACAAGACTGAGGACTGCAAAATTGAGGACCAGTAATGTTATTTAAAAGTGATCATTCAGCCTGAGTCCTTTTATTCCTCTTTCTATCCTATCTCCAGGCAGTAGACCCACTACGATTACCAAGACGCGCAGCTTACATTTGCTCAAGACATCATCCAGCCTGATCCGTCCAAATGGAGGATATCGGTGAGTTGGCAGTTGAGTTGGTTGGAGAAGCCCTCTCTTCTGGGTCAGCAGATCATTATGTTTAAGGTGCAAACCATTAACACAGTAACAGAGACCCCCTCTCCGCCGCGGTCAAACTGCTCGTTCGGGGAGGAGTAAAAATCACCCAGCTCTACCTCAACCACCAAGCATGTCAGCAATTCCTTGAGGAGATCCAGACGCTTTTTGTCCGCCTGACTAAGCTAGGATATCTCACACCGCTTGTGCCTGCCTCACAGGAAGAGGCTAAAACGGCCCAGGTCGGATGGATAATGACTCCAGCCGGAGTGGAGAGATTATTCTTCACCGCATACACAGACATCAGTCGCGCGCGCGACCGATTCGGACTTTCGGCCGGACGCCTCCAATCATTCGGATTGCAGGAACCGGTCATCGTAAATCTCAACTCCCCGTCTAAAGGCGCCGCTATCCGCGAGCGCCTAGGAGCAACGTGGCCAGCGGAGTATCGCGAATGGATGCTGCAACGCATCAACCCCTTTCAGTTTATGCCGACTCTCGCGAAGAATATTCTGGGCCGGTATGCGCTGAGCATGGTCCGCAAGTCGTTGCGCTCGCCAGCGCATCATGATCTCCTTCTCGCCCGAATCCTCGGCCTGGCACAGTTCTGCGGTCTTCGAGAAGTGAGTCTCGCCGACCTGATTGATTTGATGGCCCATGCTTGTTACTATGAACGAGTGGCGAGACGCTATATTGCTGCCATGCTTGGAGTGCATTACACTGTCTTCACGGGGTACGCGTTGGCAGATAGCTTTAACGGGCAGCTGTTGGGAAGTCTGGAGAATCCTTTTGAGAACTTCGCCGAGCTAGCGGCAAATTTCTACCATTCGCTGGTGCAAATCGGCGTTGTGGAATACGGCAAACCCCGGCTCACCCGAGCAGAGGACATGCCAAATGTGAAATTTAAGATCGACCGCGGAGCAGGTCCAAAGCACGGTGAACCCATTTACATGATATCCGGCTGGGCCGAAGCGCTTCTTCGCCGGCCGCGCAACCATCCACATGTCCGCTCGGTGACCAAGGACTTCACCATCGGACTCGCAAAGGACGTGGGCAAGAGCTTCGTCCCTTCGCCGCTGCTAAGAAAGATGGGCAATCTGGGGCGGAATGTTTTGAAACAGGATGTGCATGGGAACAACTGTTATTATTCTGCCGAGCTGGAGACGGTTGCCGTCAGTGTCAAAAGGACACCAGGGGGCCAGCTGGTGGGGAAGGTATCGCAGTTTGGCGACTTTCGGCCCATTCCTTTCGGGGGCCAAGGTGTTTTTGGTGTGCAATGCGGTTGCAATCAAGCTGATCCTAAGAAGATTATCCAGGGGTCCAGTCTTAATGGCTGTCCACTGGCGAGTATGTACAAGTATCGAGTGGACGAGAAGCTGCACATTGGGTATGACCAGACGGTCTACCACTGGACGGCCGGAGACCTGCCCATGATCCTCTTCTGGGCGGACGGACATGTTACAGGGACCTATATCCAAGTTGCTGGGGAGTGTGTATATTGCGCTACCAGTCGGGCATTCGGAACGGGGTGTAATCTCATCATAGCAGGAGGATGGT